CTTGGCTTCACCTCTGAAAAAGACTGTGTACAAAGCTTTCTTTAATGACATTTAGTTACAGCGGTTTCATTCAACAATGAGGAAAATGCACAAAATAATCTAAGCACTTCAAAAATTGCAAAATGGGGAAAAGCAAAGTAATTGACATAAATTACTGTCATATAATATAGAAAACACAAGTAATTCTTCATATCAAATTTTCCTTAGACGTACTTTGCAAAAAAAGAACTTACCTTTATTTCTTTACTAGTATAAAGAACGTCTTCTATTTAATTTTATTGTACAATTGTACATTTGAGTGTACAATTTCACATCTATTTTCCGTCTAGTTCTGACAGACCCCATAAACTTACTATGGATCAGTCCTTAGGGTTAAGCAAGTGTGAGTCCCAGAAACAGCTTTTCTCTTCTGTATTCAGTACAATGCATAATGAATTATTGCCTTTTAAATTTACATGAAGTACTATAATCCCCCTGATGATAACGATGTTAATCAGATGATGTGCCAGAGTTAATGGGTAGAATACAGATGTTACAGACACACTTCTGAGTGCAGAACCAATACTAACATGAAATCAAAACTTGCTTTTGGACAGATAATTATCCTGGTGGTTATGTGTGCCTCAACAAAGCTTGAGGCAGCTTGGATGTTACCAGCTGAGCCCAGGGAAGCAGTCCTTATCCTATGAAGTACCATGTTGTGTGCTAGGAGCAGCTTTGCAGCTACAAATCTGTTCCTGCATATCTTCCTCACAGGGAATGCTGCAATAGGCAGCTTGTTCAGCAGTTTATGTCCAGCCTGTGCTACCTGGTAGATTTCAGAAAGATGAAGGTTATTTCTAACAGTTAAGTAGATTAGAGTTCTAGTTTCAACAGAAGCAATAGTTTTGATGCATAAATTATATGAGTCTGGATTTTCAGTGTCTAAAAGTTGGTCTAGTACAGATTTTGGCAGCTAAGGGATGTGGGGACATCCAAGTTGTCCTTGGGACCCCTCAGCAGCCTCACAGCAGAAAACTCTACGCAGTGATCCATCCACTGGGGTCATAAACAGCCTGTGCCCATGTCCTTGGTTCAAGCTACTGCATCATCTTATGAGGCAAAAATAATTAGAAATAAATTAAAATCTGGCTTTCTCTAGGCACATATGTAATCTGGTGGGAGCAGGGTGGACTAGAGGGCACCTGGAGCAGGTGACCTTGTTATGCACAATCCAGCACCTGCAGCTGCAGCTGGGTCTGTGATCATCTTTCTTAGAAGCAGCACCCGGTGGTCCAGGCTGAAGGGTGAAGGTGGGGAACTGCCTGATCTTCTCAGCACCACATCAGTGGAATGCATGATTTGAGGGGGAAAACTGGCTAATTACCTGAGTAGGTGCCTTAAAAGAAACCAATCTCCTTGCTTTTAGTAAATAGTTTTCTTAAGGCTGTGAGATAAAGTGAAAATTTAAAATACTTTTCAAAACAGCATAAATACTGTAGGTGGCAGAAATAATAGAAACTGAATGAAGTGAAAATTGCATTTCACTCACTGTTTGTCTTCCCCTTCATATTTGCTGTGGTAGGTGCATCATATATTCAATTAAAGCATCGGGTCATTAGGCCAGGGGCTACAGTCTGCAACTGCTGCTTCTGTTGGTTATTAGATTACGTGCAGCCAGTAGTTTTAGCACATCTTCATGAGTGTGACAAGAAGGCAGTCAAGGTTCAGAGTTTTATATATTGGTCTGCTTACACCCATGGAAACCAGCATATTTAAATATCCATTAAATATTTCAAGTGGGGTAGAGAAAGGAGAGGATAAAAATATTGGAAGTATAAAACATTGAAGTCTTTGGTTTGTTAACATGATGTTGCATTCTTAATTAGATATTGGGAGATTGCCTGCAAGACCTGGTTCGAGACAACAAAGAGTGAGGCAAGGGAGAGTGGGCATCAAAGGCAGCACTTTTTGCAGGGCAGGACATTTCCACCAGGTCCAGAGAAACAGCACTGGCACTCTCAGAAGAGCTTAACATGTCTCCCCCCTGGCCAAGCTTGCCTGGAAAAGTCTCTAAGATCTTCAGCCTTCTTCAGCAGTATGAACTACCTGCATAGTTGTGAGGTTTTTCACAGCTTGGAAAAATTTGTGCAATTTTCTTTCTAAGGTGTCCTGCAGCAGAGGCCAAGCTGATAGGAAACCACTTTCAAACATTCAACCTAATGCTTCTTACCAGGATTTAGGCTCTTTGCATCCTGCCCTGACTCTCATCGACCAAAAACCAAAATTTTTCCTCTGTCCTTGTGCAGCTGCCTTTTTTGTTGTGCTTTCCTCATGTTAAATTAAGCAGTCCTGTTTCATGCAGTCCTTCCCTGGTAAGCACATTTTCTCAACCCCTGGCTACTCTCAGAGCTCTCTCCTGGGCATCCTCCAGCTTCTTCCCATCTTGCAGAAAGTGCCTTTCCCAAAACCAGATACAACTGTTCATCTGAAGTTCGGCAAATGTTGACAGGAGCAGAATGAGTTCTGCATGAGCCCTGTAGGTTAATGCTTTTGTTTGTATAATCTGGTAGTGTTAGTTTTTCTAGCAACAGCAGCAGATTAACTCCTCCTACCTACAGATTCATTGTGACCCTCAGGTAGTTTTCCACAGAGGTACTGCCCAAAAATTTGGCTGCCTAAGTACCGGGTGGCATTGTCCTCTTCTTGAGCAACACTTTCTTATAAAGAAAAAATATCAGTTTGTCATGAAAATTTCAAATGTTCCTGGTTTTCACCACTGGCACTGACTGTACTTTTACCTCAGCACTTGAATTTCAATTGGGTTTCTTCCTATTTCAATATCCTAGTTACTGGAAATACTGATTTGGACAAATATAAGGACTTAATTCAGAACTCTGTTTTTGTAGTAAATGGCTGGGCACTTTTCTGGTATGGTTCTCCAGTTTTGTTCACATACTGCTCGCACGTATTTCATCCAGTCTTGGTTTGCCTATTTTATTTATAAAAAAGATCACATCAGCCAATATCAAAAAACATAATGAAAGACAAGATTTATGGCTTCTATTGTTTATTCACAGGCCTTTAACCTCATTATAACCTTCCATAAAGGAAATGAGATTGGCTGGATGGAATTTTGTTCTCATTAAATCCTTGCTGACTGCTAAAAAATGGTTTGTATCATTAGTTTTGTTTCAAAATTTCAAACTTTTGTTATTTTGTCTTAAAACCTTTGTGATCAATTAATTTAATTGGCTAAGGCAAACTTCTCTTATCTTGCACAGATGAAAGCACAGGCCTATGGACTATATCCCACAGCGTAGAGAAGGATTTGGAAATTTCTGTTGCAAGGCATTGATAACTCTAGAGGAGGATGAGACTATCCAGAAGATTTTAAGCAATGCATTCCTAGATAAGATAGATCAGATAAAATAATGGCCAAATCCCATACCTTATAATCAGCAATGAGTAGACCCTTATGGCCTTAGCAAGTAACTCACTCAAGGTGAATTACAAAGGCTTAGAAAAACTTGGTTACATTAGTCAGTGTAATTTGAGTTGTGAATATCAACAGTGACTATTGTCATTAAAATGTATGACAAGATTTTTGGAAAGCCATGAGTGACTTAATAACTTACACCAACAGCAGACTTAACTAAACAACAAAACCCCAAATGGATGCAGCAAACATGTAAATGTTCCTTACAAGTAAATCGGGGCTGAACATACAGGGGAAAGCAACAATTATTGTTGAGTTCAAATAATGGAACTTCCAGAGTACAGGAATATAGCTGAGGGAAAGCCTGTGTGTTGAGGCAGGCACTGTTAGGTACAGCAGGTATTTCATATTTGTAGAGTCCTGAAGTGTCAGCCATCAGTCTTTTGAGCCAATGTAGTAATAGTATTTAGGAAGAAATAACGACAACTACTGCAAGTATCTTTCATATTTCCATGCATCAGACAACCATGCATTTAGTATTTCAAAGTGGCTGGGTTGTCACTGCAGCACTGCTGGAAAGGAAGAAGGTCAAGTTTTATAGTGGAATTGTGATGAAAATGGGCAAGGAAATGGGGGTTAGGTTACACACTTGGAGTGCCTAAAGTGCACTCCAACATTGGACCCATAGTTTATTTATTTTGTTTTTCTCTTCTGGTTGTTGCTGTTGGTTTTACTGTTGTTAAGGTTGGTTGTTTTGGGGATTTTTAAATCTGACACAGAGTGACCTGCAGCAGTTGGCATAAGAAATCAGTGAATATGACTAGTTTCCTGTATTTTTTTTAGTGTCCCACTCTGGTCTTTGACGTTTTTAATGATCTCAGGGATTTCTGCACCCTCTCACATTACAAAACCTAATAACCAGTACTATTTCCTTTTACACCCTTGAGAAGAAGACAGGGATAACTTAAAATTACTATTTCAAAAGTAGCTTGTGTGTCAGGAGCTGTAGCTTTGAAGGACTTAGCATCTCTTTTAAGGACTGCAGCTGTTCCTAGGGGAGCCTCCTGCTGCTCCAGGGCTTCCTCTTGCATGCTGCCGTGCATCCTGCTGGCTCTCTGCATCCAACAGCACAGGCATGCTGGCCCTGGGGAACAGACTTTCCTGGTGCAGACATTAACCTTTCTCCCTCAGGGATTTCAGCTCTCATTTTACAGCTGCTTGCTTTTATTAGTCAGTAAGTTTTGTGAATGCTCTGAGAGCACTATGGGTGTTGCTATCAAGTTGGGACATACTCCTCATTCACTGTTAGATTTTCTCTCTACTTTTTCTTATGAGTGCCAGGGAATCAGCAGTAAATCAAAAAAATAACAGCAAAGAACATCCATGACTGTTCAGTTTGGCAACGTGAGGTGCATACTCTTGCAAATGCTGCGGTCCAAGACATTGATATATGTATTTTTGTTTCCTGGCAGGGAAAAACAGTATTTTTAGCAACTAGTATAAGATAAGTAAGTCATGAGCATTGGATAAAGTAGTTTCCCTGACCTACTGCTTTCTTTTTATTTGCTTTCTTTTCAGTTTCAGCACCCACATATCATTCTGGAAACAGGAATGAAACAGAAAATCAGTGAGTGGCACAGGCTTGGCATGGAAGTGGGGTACTTTGAGGAAGTACTAGTTGAGACCTTCCAGCTCAAAGGTGAGTGGTGCAGTCACAATTAGCCATGAATATACACCTCCAAAATACTGTAAGAAGCTGCTTGCTGCCCAGAGCCAGTTCAAAAGCCACCACTCTCTCAAGCTCAAAGAAAAGAGACACCTACTCTGGCCTTGAGTTACTTTGACATACTGACATACTGAGGGCACAGCATGCTAGTTTGTGCCCTGTAAGATGCCAAACTAGCCAAAAAGATCTGTTCCATGGTAAAGGAGTTGCTTTGTGGTGCACAGGAAGCAGGGAGATGTGCCATTCACTTTTCTGCCCCTTCCGAGGGGGACAGCAGCTCTTCCTGTCCTACTCCTTTGCCTCCTGCCTGTACTGTAAAAGCAATCTCCAGGTTGCTCCTGTTGCCTCAGAAATAGGCAACATGAGACCCCTAATCCGCTTTCCTCTTCCACACTGAACTTGCATAACCCACAAGAGAGCCAGGCCAAATCTGGCTATTTATAATCCAGCAAAACTCAGTCCTGTTGTCTCCATTGCTTCAGAGAGGGTTTCCTGAAATGCAGGAGAGTGTGATGTTCACCAGCCTAATTCTAGCAGTTTTGTTTAAAAATATTGATGTTACAAATTATCTACATAAAATATAGAAATATGATGTAATTTCAATATTTATTTTTCTTCTCAGATATACCTACCATGCTGAGTATAGATAGTTTTGTTCATTATAGAGTCAAAAACTTACGTAGGTTAACAAAATTGAAAAGAGATGTTCTGAAATTATAATCTCTGCCTATCCCTTATAGTTTGCTATTGCTGTGAAGACTCTGGAGAACTCTTTCTCTGGGTTTTGCATGGTATTCCTAATATAAAACATTACGTTATGTTTTCTAAGGTTCAAGACTTTAAGGTTAGCCAGAAAACATTATGTTCCTCTCCAAAGGGAAAAAAATAAAGGACATGGGTAATTATTCTCTCAGCCTTCAAAAATCCATTTCCTTAACAGCACTCTATCCTCTCAAAAGAGAGTTTATGCTTATGGGGATGGTTTGCTGATGGGCTGTGCGGGAACAGGTTCAGTACTTCATGTGTGATTCCAAGAAGCACAAGGAAGCCCAGCTTTCTGAAGTGGGTCCACCTGTACCACTCTGAAATAAACACAAAGTCCTGTGGTTTTCAGAAGCAGGAACAAACCTTGCCTTACCTGACAATGGACAGAACATTATTGCACTATCCACAAACAAGATTTTTGTTCCATCATAATCTGTAATTTGAATTGCTGTTCACATTTCTGATATGAGTGCTTACACATACAATAGATGGGAGGGTAAAATAGTCGGGTATTGGCTTTGCAGCAGAGGATTTAATGCAAGAGAAGAGAGTTGTGTGTACCTTGTACCTTCCTTATGGTACAGCAGGACAAGACCAGTCCCAGATTTTCTTTACCTTTCAAGCACATTAGAGCAATGCAAAGCCCATTAGAGCATCAGGAGAAATCTGAGTTTTTAGGGAACCTGTGTTCTGACTCCTTTCTGTGGCCTATTATGCCCTAAATCAGTACAAAATTATTCACTATCCAAAAAAATGCTTTATTGCTGATCAAATGTTGTTTAGGCAGGTCCTAAAGCTTCCCATCAGAAGGTGAGCTCTGGCTTATGTCATTCCTCCACATCAGAGGAGTTCCATCCATCAGGAGGGAACAAGCACAATCACCTTGATAATGAAGGAAACCCATCCACAGTAAGAGTGGTGGACTAAAAATGCACGGAGAGCTTCAGTTTCTGATCAGTAGCAGCCAAGCACCCCTGAAAAGAGAGAAAACCTGAGGTTTTCCTTTCAGCATCCCAAGGTGGTTAGAAAGGCAGGGGTGGTGTGCATGGGCAAAGCCCAACTGAGGGAGATTTGCCTGCCCCAAGCAGAATTCTGCCCTTTTGTTCAAACTCTTCCTGTTTGTCAGTGACACTGTCTGGGCAATGAGAGCTGAGCTCTGCAGTTTCCCTTACTCAGCTGAATATTGGCCTCACAAGTGCATCCAAAGTTTTGGGCTATCCCCATGAATCTATTTTTGATCTTGTTTGTTCAGCCTGGTAATTCCAGTGGAATAGCTCAGCATCTACCACTTTGTGAGGTCAGAAGGATGGTTTACTGTTTCAAAATGCCTGGTTTGGCATGTGATTTAGGCTCACAGCATCCTTGGATTCTCCTTCTGAATTAATTGGAAATTAGGACAGATACCATTAACCATAGAAAAGGCTTTAGCAAGATACCTGTTTTCTGCCACAAGGAGTCATTCCTTACCTTCTAGGTCCTTGACCACCTTGCTTTCCAGGACTGGAAATGCATCTCTCTCCTCTCATTTCTCTTCAGCAAGCTCCCCACCAGATGCAGGACATGTGTGCTGGATTACCAAATCCAATCCCTGGGAGCTGTAGATAGGTTTCTTGATTCACAGCAGCTAGACTTGGGCTATTCTGGCTGAAACTTGCTTCTTTGTGACCCTCTGGGCAAAGGAAAACAGAGCAGAGACCTCTGGAGAGGTTCACTGGGGCTCTGGCAAGGTGGGAAATGGGGCGTCCATCTCCTCTCTTCTGGTTTCAGAGGTTCAGATCCTTCAGTAAAAAGATAAGCAACTTGGGGAACAATGCCCAGTTTTTTCTCTCTGCTCTCATGTGTGATCTGCCAGTGCTGTGAGCTTTAACATTTACAGCAAATTGAAAGTCTAGTAACTTGAGGTTCCCCACTGAAAAGAGCTACCTCAAATTGTTCATACTGATGTATTTTGGAGTGAAAAGCATGAAATGCATCTTTTCTCCCTTTGTTGATCAAAGTACACTTTTAAATAGTAGCAGTTTTACACTTTACGTAACAATTTCCTGCCATGGCTGGCTTTCCAGAATCTGACAGAAATGTTTCCTGCTGCTACAGTTAAGTTACTGATAACTTACTGCTGTTTATTTACAAACAGTGTTCAGATATCTTTTTTTACCCTCCCTTCCCTTTTTTTTTTTTTTTTAATTTTTGAAGGGTGTTTTGTCCTCACTCAACCTTCCTGTGAACAGCGCTGCCAGCTTGGGTGGGCTACCAAGGAAACGCCGAGAATTTGTCGGACTTGAAAAGAAAAGCAAACGGGCTGTGAATTTGTTAGAGGCTGCAGGTGGCTTTGATTCTCTGCGCGGAGCCTGCGCCGGAAACATCCCGGCTCCTGAGCCTCCCAGGGGACTCCAGCAGACAGGGCTGCACAGCCCCGGTGATGACTCACGGGCAGGAACTCACCTCCGAGCGAGTGGCAGTAGCGGGGGAAAAGTGTCCGAGCCAAAATGAGTCAGAGGGGAGCGAAGGCTGCAGAGCAGGGCTGCCCTGGCAGCCTGCTGACACACTGAGCTCCAGAGCTGCCAGCGGCGACAGCGATTGCATAACTGCTGGGAAAGCAAACCCAGAACAAGCTGTAAAACCTGTGGCAGCCTGGTGGAAGACACAGCAGCCTTCAGGGCTTGCTATCCAGCAATTTCGTTGGAGAAAGCTGGATGGCCTGTGGTAGGTTTTGAATGGGTGGGTAGAGAGAGTTTTATTAGGAGGGTGCAGTAAAATTTGCACCTTTGGGGACAATGCAGCGTTGAATGGAGAAGCTGTGCCACAAAGATCTTTTTGCACTCTTATATTTGTCAGTGGAAGTCTGTTGAGATCTACTAGAGACTTGAGACTACAAAAACCACCTGAGATATGGGAAAAAAATGCACAAGAAACCTGCTCAGCCCTTTCATCTTGAGGATGTGTCCTGGAAAATAGAAGTCCCAGGTGCTGTGACTTCTTGAAATCTTCAGGATCTGTTTTAAGTACACAAAATAAATTTACCAATAAAACTATTAACTGTCTAGACAGATTTATGGATTTAACTTTGGACATGTGCAATATGAATTTGAAACAGCGCTATCCTAACAGGATACTCTTTCTTTGTATAGAACATCAGCTGCTGGGTCATATCTCTTCCTCTGGAATCAGCACCTGGAAAATATTAGATGAGTCACAAGAATCTGAGAGCTCTGAAAAGCAGCATACACCAAGTGACATACAGGATGAAAGCTTTAAACTCACAACTTAAAACAACAAACCAGAGCCCTCAGAGCAGGAATAGACTTAAGCTGCTGTGAAGTGTTAAAAATTGACTGGTGGGATCAAGCTAAGGTACTCAGGCAGCATCAGGAATGGCAAGATAGCAATGAATACACAAAGACCATGAGCATCCTTTTCTGACTCTTTTTTTCCTCAGGCAGTGCTGATTTTGCAGTTACTCTCCTTCCTGAGATAATTTACACCAGCCTACACAGCACTTTTTGCTCTGGACATACCCTGACAGATGGTAGCTCTGGATGCACTTACAAAATAGTTCAGATGGATAAGTGTAGGTCAGCAGGATTGTCAATGTGCTAGTAAGATACCTGAAGATTCTAGGTTATGTTTACATAGCAGTTGAACTATAAATGCAGGATCATACCATGTTCCCCTACTTAATCCAGGATTAGGACACAGGTTCTAGGTGTGGTGGTCACTCTCTGAACTTTGCCAGGCATGTCCATGGGCAGAAAAAGTGCTAGAGTCTCAAGATGAAAACAGGGATTAGCCTGCATCCTGCCCCTGACACAGCTGGCCAATAGTCTCTTGCTCTGCTATGTCTTTTCCTGTGGGGAGTTCCAGCCTACTCCCTCTCCTGCAGCTCCTCCTTCACAAAATTTGGTGGAAAAAACCCCCCAGTAATGACTGTCTCCTAAAGCATAAATAAAGGGTTTCATGAAGGGCTTCTTCCTGCATGTTTTCAGCAGGTCATTTCACAGGTCTGTATCTGTGAAGGAAAATAGCTGTTCCAAACTGGAATGTGACACTTGTGTTTTCTTTCTGAAAACCTTGCACCTCTGGAGCTCTAGTTCAGACAGGCTCCAGACAGTCTCAAGTCCTGAATTTCTTTTCTCCTTAATTGCTTGCTATATTATTCTCCATGTTTATTTCTTTTTAATTTCTCCCTCTTTTTCCTCCTGATCTTTCTTTTCTCTGCACTAGAATGTAAGTTACCCATGTTTTCATAGCTGCAGCAGCAAAGCCAAAACTCCTGCATTTCTGCCTCTAACTTCACCAGAACTCAAAATGAACCTTAGTAAACAGGGATGTGAAGAGCCACAAAAAGGGGCCTTGTACTTTAGCACATAGATCATGGGCCTCTTGGACTCAGCCTGTGGTAAGTGTATGGGAAATGAAAGTCTTGTGTGAATAGCTCTGGAAGTGTTTGGGGCCCACACTGTGTTTGCCAAGGAAGTTTTTAGGAAACTTCAGAAAGGCAGAAATTTCTGATTCTGGACTATCTTTACTTCATGGTAGGATCATCTGACTTTGAGTTATTGGTGATAACAAATGGTAACAGACCCAACATCATCTGGAAGGTCTCAGATAAGCACTGATAACCTCTCCTTTGGCTACTTCTTGAGCACATTCCTAGCCTTCCACCTTTGACTTTCCAAAGTATTTTCCAATTAGTGAGGTATTGCTCTCCCCCTGTGAAAAGCAGCTCCTTAACTTCACGTGGGACTAAACCAGATTGTTTGCTTCAGTCAGTCCCCACCAGCCACAGTCTCTGACATTGCTCACACCACTCCTGCTGCTTTTCCCTGGTCACTTGCCACTGTGTACCAGTGTTCTCTGAGCTGGGGAGCCTGAGGATGTCTTATTCCAGCTGTATCCTTCCTATTGCTCAGTGGTACTAAACCATTACTTCATTTGAATTGCTGGTTAAACTCAGGGTTTTTGTTCCACTCACAAGAACATTATGTTGATGAGACAGATCTGGGCTCATTCCATTCTATTAAAATTTCCTTTTTCTGTTTGAACTTCTTATGTAGAATATGGATTTTATTTTTTATCTTTTGTAATATGGTAGTACAGTTTTAACAGTGAAAATTAAATTGGAGTCTGGCACTAAAGTACTATTGACTTAAATTTTTTATGATTCTTTTCTGTATGTTTTATATGCTTGCAGACAGAATTTAGCTGGCTTCCAATGAATAAAATTATTAATATGAATCAGATTTTTTAAAACACATCCTCAGGATGCTGTTGGTGACACAAACTCTAAGGTGTAAGGATTAATGTTTTCAGCATGTGGTAATTAATGATGCGGCTTTTTAGTATGTAGTTCAATTGATAACATATACTATTCTGCCCTACTCTTAATTTAAAATATGCTCAGTTGTAACAACATTTAGTTCCTAATTAGTGATTTTATCTTCATAGCTTAAAATGGTTTATGAAAGCAATTATTCATTACTAATCCTATTTTTTAGAATTCATCTCTGGGGTTTTGTTTTTTGCTTGGTTTGCTGAGGGACAAATATTGATTTGCCATATACTCCATGATATGTTATAAAAAGGTTTGAAGTTGGAACCAGTGTTTCCTGAATCAATTTATTTGACCATAATGCTTTCAAAATACTCTTACTAGTCCATTTCGCAAATGATTATTTAATGAGGTTGGTAAAAAAGTAGCTGGTCATGGTGTTCTGAAACAAGTGACTGTGAGACACATACTCTGCACTTTTTTCCCCTATTAATTCTATTTATATAATTTTATACTTTATTCCAAAGGTGAAAATACATGTATTAAGTCCTGGGGACATTCTTTAAAATGGCCATGTGCTTTTTTTGTTGTTGTTGTTTTTTTTTTTTAATGCATAATAACGTTTTTTCCTTTTTTAAAAAATCTTAAGAAGCTGACACTATGTGTATGCCACAGCCACTATTGCAGATGCAGGAGTGTATGCCATCTTTGCTTATTCTGGAAGTTTCTAATAATCATAGCATATATTAAATAATCTTTGTTTCTGCTTTATCTACACTATAATGAAACCAATGTATGTTCTAAAACTTAGCAAAGTGTGTGTTATTTTTCCACCAATAAAAGTGTTTTTAAGAGAGGACTGTATCAGCACTATTCTAAACCAAATTACCCACACATGTTAAATTACCTTTTAATTCGGTTTACCAGAGGTGGTAAGTGAAACATATTGTATTTGCCATGCACAGCCCCAGAGTGTCCTCCTGGGGCTACTAAAAATGGCACTGAGTGTCACATCTGACCCAGCCACTCAGCAGTGTAGGAAGCCAGGTATGTTGACTGCCACTGTCCAGCAAGCTATCATTTGCCAGATCCAGGTCTGGCATTTAGGTTGTCTTGATAGCTCTTTTTTAGCAAGAAGCAAAAGAAATCACTTTTACTTCAGCAGACATTCCTGAAACAAACCTCAGAATTCAGGAAAAGAACAGGTGAAAACAAATGGTAACAGGAACTCTTCCCTAACTGTAATAAGGAAACAGACACATCACAGCCACCCTTAGAGCTTGCATATTTATTGAACAAAACCTACTAAAATAGCTAAAATACATTGGGTACTTGCATTATTAAAGATCACATTGTTACAAAAGCCTGCATTTTCAGCAGTACACAACTGCAACTATACATAAATGCCACAACTGTTGAATATTACTTCTTGCTCTATATACAGCACAGCAGACGTATCTATTCTATTGGAAAAGAAAGTGTACAAGGAAAGGGATACAGAAGGTAGGGAAAGGAAAGAAATCTAGAAGTGCAGTGCATGCATTGGTTTTTAACAGTCAGAAGCTAAGACAGTTCAGAACAAGGCCTGCCCTGTAAAAGGAATAGCTAAAAGACAGAATTATATAAAAAATTAAGGTGGGCTTTCAGACTGTGTCTAACACAACAACACTCCATGAGTAGATGATACTGCTTAGTTTTGTGGTTTGTGTTATTTTGTATTTATAGTAGATTGGGAGCAAGAACAAAAATGTAAAGTCCACATGTTGACAGTATCGTGGAAATGTACTCTTTCCCCTTTAGGACTTCTCTTCCCAGAAATTTGCTGTATTTTTCTTACTATATCCCCTAGTTTATGGATTTGAAGAGGACATTAAAACTTGTCCCTTCTTTAAAAAAGGCTTGTAAGAAAAAAAGACAAAAATCAAGAGATTTTGAGAAGTTGGTGGAAAATTATTGCTCATCTTTCTCCATAAGGTGGATAGGAGTCAGAAAGGAGATTTTACGAAAATTACAGTTTTGTGATTGCTCCCACTATAACTGCATGTTTGTGAGTGGACACTGATAGGGAATCAGTTCCTCACTTGTACACTATAAGTAGTTACTCACCTACAGCACTGAATAAGAAAGCCACACTGAAGACACAAGTAAACAAGTCAGTCCAGTCTAAAGAACAACATTCAGAAAAACAAAGTACCAACACCCTCTCAGAACATGGAAATAAAAAATAACTCCATCAGAGCTACCTTGCCAAGGAGCATATTTAAAGTCCAAAATAGCACCATTCATCAGTGTCTCAAATCCCGTGGCAGCATCACGATCACTTACCACAAGGAAACCATGAGTTTCATACTACTTCTATACATCAAAAGAGTACATGGATAAAATATAGAGATATACAGACCATCAATGAAAATAAACTACTAGGCTTGTTACATCTAAATGAAAAAAAAGGGGGACTCTCAGCCTCTGCAAGAAGCAGTTTGGGTTGGTGGAAATGGAGAGAGTGGTTTACCGGTTGTGTGTGAGCTGTGGAGTTTGAGTAGTGAAAGACATTGCTGTGGTAGAACCAGGCCTGAGGGCCCACCTGTAATGTTTGTAAACATGGATTCACAGTGTGAAATTCTGAGAGCTTTCGCTTGAGTTAGAATGTTAAAAACTAGTTTTTATGGTACATGTTTGTCCATTGTTATTCTCTAAAGCAAGGCTCAGAGTCCCGTAGTTTCTTCTTACACTTGATGATTTACACAGAAACAATTTCCAATATATGACACCATGACCTCATCAAACCCATACACCATATGTAATATGAATGGAGAAATTATGTTTAAAAAGAGTAGAGGTAATTGATTTTGGTGAAATGTTGTCCATGGCCACTTGCTGGAGCCAGGGATGTCCCCTCCATCTCACTTTTCTTGCGGTTCACTTCCTTTGAGATAGGGAGATTTCCCTGTGGAGAGGAGAAAGTGGTATTAGTTGTGCTTCTGTTTGCTGGGCTGCTCCCTTCTCTCATCATAAAGTTTCCATAGTTCCCTATATTTAGTTCATCTTCTAAAGATGACTGAAGCACCTGATGCTGCAGAGAGCAAAGGGTTGGTTGAAAACCCGGCGGTTCTTGCAGCATCTGAGAAAAACATTTCATTTGGGCATGAATTAATGTGTCCTAGCAGCAAAAAGTTCAAAAGATCTAACGTAAGAGTGCATCTTATTTATGAAAGATGATATTAATACTAAGAGAACTTTTCCCAGGCCAGACCTCCAATTTTTAAAAAACCTTACTGTTTAACCAACCAACATACACTAAGTCACTTTCCTATAATAATCTGTCAAAAAGAGCACACTAAAAACACTGCTTTGTTTTCTTGTTCTGAGTAGGTAAGGAAGTGGTGTGCCATATGAGCGAGCTGCCTCAGACAGGTCTTTGTTAGCCATACATATTAACTGTGCATATTCAGCAAAGTTTTTAAACAGCATTCACATATATGTTTCATTTTAAGCCTCAGAATGAAGCCTAAAAGCTAAGCACCTAATACCTAAAGTACTTTGCTGATGATATGTCACTATGGAATCTGAAATAAAAATAATTTGTTTAGCTAGTAAGATATCTTAAGGGAAAAAAAAAATCTGTGTTTTTTGTGTTTAAGTGGTAAGAATCATAAAGGTGTTTTATTGCTCATATTGTTTAGGATGTGTTTGTCACATAATATCAACACCAATTTTTGTTTAAGAAATTAAAGTTATCTTCTCCAAGTTTTTGTTGTTTTTTTTTTTTCCTGATGTGAGAGTTGTGAATTTCTGAATTAAGAATTAAACACATGGCAATTTCCCAATGACCAATAAAATGCAATTTTCAGCAATTTTCCTTTCTTGGCTCTTCAAACCCAGAATTTTCACTGGGGTGTTCATACTTGCTACATTTACTTGTGCTGGGAATGAAGCCATCCCATGGCTCTCCCACTGTCTTCATCCCAGTGTACAGGATAAATTCTACTTTTAGGCAGATGAGCTCCCCATGGGGTTCTGCACTGCACACAGGAGTGGTTTTCAGGCTGAGCACAGAGCAAAATCCCTTCCTGGAGATAGCTGGTGACCTGCTCCTTTGAGGCATCAAGAAATGGAGGAAAAGAGCAGAATTTGGTCAGTACATATGCAGAAGAGTAAGGAGCTGTAACAAATATTTGCTAGAGCCAATATGGCTATTTTGCAAGAATTTCAAAATGAGAAAATAAATTTTAAATTTTAGTGACTACACAAACATGTTTCCTCACAGTACTCTAGAAAATTCCATCCTCATGGTAGTATTTCTACTTATTTTTGTTTTACTAAATTTGCTACTTATGTGTCATTAAAGGATATGAAGGGAAAACTAGAAACTTACACATGCAAACAGGCACACCACACAGACCAAAGGTCTGGGCAAATTTCCAAAAGCATTGTGTCGGGCAGTTCCTTTTCAGCTGTGAAAACAATCTCAGTCCTGAAATCCTGCCATACAATCATGAGATAGAAAGTCCCATGTGACCCTTCTAGGTCTGGAAATAAACTGTCATTAAGAACTGAAGCCTTTTACATTTGTTGGTTGTATGAAAATATAATTAAAAAAGAAAAAAACAAAAAAACAAAAAAACAACCCAACACTTTTAGCTCAAATAATAGTTTTTAAAAATCTATCAATTTTACTTTATTCTTTCAGAAGTTCAAGCTGTTTACCATTGAGTAGATAAAAGTGCTCAGCTGGAGGACAAAAACTTTTTGCAGTTTTTTTCACCAATTTATCCTAATTAATTTTATAGTTCAAATGAAAGAATTTTCCAAATATGTACAGTTTCTGCTAAAGATGATGCTCTGCTGGAAGCTGGACTATGTGCAATTAATATTGAAGTTGCTTTTGAATGTCAGTTGTGAAATAAAATTTGGAGGTAGTTCTAAAAACTGGTTGTTGCACCAGCACATGCCAAATATCTTCTGAAGAATTACATAAAGGCTAGGGAAAAAAATGTACTTTAAAAACAAGAATCCAGTGACTTGAAAGGGGAAAAGGATTTATAATATGTTTTGGCTAGTTGAGAAACTGTTATCCCTTCTGAGAAACTTTTATTTTAAGCTATGTACAGCATAAACCCACAGCTATTCATAAATCCAGTATAATGCAGCATTGTTGCTATGCTGCACATAGTGCACAGCCTCATTCCTGTGCTTCAGGAGAAACTTTGTTTAATGATGAATGACAATTTACTGAAAGCTTCTAACAACATTTTGAATAAAAATTGTCTAGTTAACACACAGCTGATTCATAAAATTAGCAAATTAATTTGATGTAAATATGACCCTATAGAGCACATTAGTCATGCTCTGGCACTGCTACCAGCCTTCTCAGCTGAACTTTTGGAATACTGTGAATGCTAAGAATGGCAGTACTGCAGTATATGTTAGTTTAAAGACTGGCACATGAGGCTGCAAATAGCCCATCCATAAACTTTAGAAATTGCAGAGAAAAAAGTGTAGAGGAAGGTACAGTGTTATCCATATGGAACTGCAGCAGAGTTTTGTTAATGGAGCAGAAGCCTTGTTAATAACTGAAACTTAAAACAATTTTCCACGTGTTGTCTTCTTTACTTACCTTCTTGAGCCAGTAATTAAAAGGGAATATGAAAATAAAACATATACATCACATGGTTCTGTGTAATATGTTATCTTTCACTACTGGAATTCCATGTCCAGTTTCACATTTATTAAACCAGGAAAGGTAACAGAGTAAAATCCTATTAATGCATTCTGATGAGCCACACCTTCTGCCTTTATATTGTGCTATTTCTTGTCAAACGCAGATGAAAACTGCCACACTTTGTATGCATCAAGCCAGTAAAGCACAAGCAAGGTACTCAATAAAAGACAACCCAGTTCCTCTTGCTGCATTATCATTGACTTTTTCATCTGCATTGCTAGGAAAGCATTGCCAAAATTAAACATTCAAAACTCAGATGTCAAACTTGTAAAATCATGAGACAGGCTTAAGAAATATGAGCCTTTGAAAATTAGTATGTTTTCCTTCTGGTGTGCAGCCAGCAAGAGTCCATGTTTTCTGCAAGCCTGAAGGGTAAAAACATAATTATAAAATGAAAACTGAGATCTTCAGTTAACTGCATGGTGCAAGGAGCCAAGGCTTTAAGAAAAACAGAGTAATATGAGACTTGTGATAAAATCATGAGAGTTGGCTTCTTTCTTGAAGTGGTTTTAAAATTAAATCCATTGAACTTTCAATTATTATTTTTTTTTCTGAAAACTTTCATTTTAGCAAGCTATTTATTATACAAAAGAAATTACATAAATAACTTTACCTTTGGAAATCCCCCATCCCCATGGCAGGTTGGAAAGATCTTCTGGTTTACCCAAGTCATTGAACCTGGTTGATAAACCTGTAGTGACATAAATATATATAAGATCTTACTAACAAAGAGAGATTCATTGAATGTGATGGTGCTCATGTGACAGACCACATCAATAAAACAAGACTAATGTCAGTAGAACTTGGCCCAGAGTATTTAATGTTTAGTTCATGTGTTTTGTATCCATGACAACATCTGTCCCTAGAGCATTCCAACTATATTGTTTTATGTTTATCTACATTCAACAGGCACCTTTAAAAAAAATAAAAAATTTAAAGAGTAAGGATGGAATTTTTTTAAATTTCTCCAATAAATTCTTTATAGAGGATGTCTGTACTAATGAGGTTGCTGAGGATATTGTGAGAAAACATGTCCATTCCCTTCTGCCAGAGATCACTGGTAAAGGGCTGTTTAATGAAGTTCATTATCTTTGCTGAAGACTGCAGGTGACAAGAGCACTGCAGCACTGATATGCTTTCACAAGGAGTGGTGAACTAGAATGTGTAACTTTGTAAGATCATTGAAACAATTATAATTCTGTGTTAGCTCCCTGTATTTTCTGCATTAAAGAAATTCCAACACATTATAAAACACATACAGTAAAATAGCTGGCAGCAGGATTTAACTGTTGAAGTGCTGTCCTACTATGTCTACAGGAAATTTTCTCTATGTAAAATAGGTTAAGATCTAAAGTTGGGCACTGACTACAGTGAAGGTTAAAGTGAGCGAATA